TAATTTAGAAATTCCTGTAAGCCTGTTTACTCCTTGGGCATGAATACATGGACTTCTTTCCTAGTGACGCCAAGCTTAGTTTTGAGCGGCATTCTTTCGCCTGATCTCCAAAGTATCAAGACGTGTATACAGTCTAGGAAGAAATTGGCGCATTCAAAAGTACCAGTTCTATCTTTGAAGAATTCCTAAGCTTGGGTAAGTTGATTATAGTTTACGAGTACCATAATATATATTTTTTTTTAAAGTTGGCCACTGCTGCAGAGAGGGAAGATTCAGCTGTGTGATCGCACAGAGTTCTTGAGGTCCAGAGATCAGGCTCCGAACATTAAACCTTTTCCCTGTGCAGACTAAATAGTTTGTGCTCTACATAGCCCACACCATTTGTAAAGATATTAAACCCTACAATTAATTATTCTCTGACCAGACAAACGAAGTTGTGTGCCTCCTAGCAGAAATATGGAATCTGGGTCATCTTTTAACAGTTAACTGCTGAGACGTCAGAGCTAGACGCTCTGAGTCAAAGGTGTGTTTGACACAGACACAGTGGGTGTGTAGTGAACAGCCTGTGGAGACGTGAAATATATATATAGGTACTAACTGTATACATTGAATGTCTGCGAGTGCAGAAGTGACGGTGGAGAAAGGGTGATCTATGTGTGGTAGTGTCTATCTATCTCCACTATATATCTATATCTATCTATTTCCTGTTCTTGAGAGTTACACTCTGAGGAATGGAGAAGGGTAGCAGAGTGTGGGGTGAGCTGGTGTGTGGTTAAAGATGATTACTTATTCTGAGTTCTTTCCTAACAGGATGATACCTCCTTAGAGATCAGGCAGACGAATCACAGTCCAGCCAACAACCACCAACCCATTCCATTCTGAGCACCAAGCATACAAAAGAGCGTCTTTGTGAGTTCCAGGACTGGTGGACAATTGCAGACACTTATGTCATCAATCTAGATAATTAGTCTCCAAGAGCTTTGTTAGGCTCTTATGCAGTTCTTGTGTCCTCACCTGTGAGACAGTCAGCGAACACCACAGTCTTTAAGAGCCTTGTTGGGTTCCTATGCAGTTCCTGTGTCCTCACTTGTGAGACAGTCAGCTTGTGCCAGATCAAATCGAGGCATAGCTACCTATTGAGTCAACTACAGTCAATTCACCATGGACTAAGGGGAGCAGTGACCTACGAACTGGGATAAGTGATCTCTTAACTACATAATGCTCTCTTCCCACAGCTCCTTGTGATTCCTATGATGAACTCATGTAATATCCAAGAACTACATCTGGCTGCCTCAACATCTGGGTTGTGTCATTGATTCCTGAACTCCATTCACTGAACATTCTTGATGATCTATTTATTAATATATGTATATATATTGTACTTGTTACATGCACAAATTTTCATGGCTGACTTGGGTGTCCCTATTTCCCCATTCTAACTGTAGAGCTTTTATGTTTGTGTGAGTAATAAGTGTAACCTGTGTTAACATGGCTATGATAGTATACTATCATAACCTGGGGGCTAACTTTTTATAGTAGTGGGGTGTCCAGCCAAGTGTGCCTAGGAATATTATATATTTTGTAGTGCCAAAGCTTGAGTTGAACTACTCCTGAAAAAAGTTGAGCGTATATTGGCCACGGGATATCCCTTAGACCAATACGAGCCAACGCCTCGACATTATTATTTCAGAGTGCTGTTGGTTCTTAAGGAGCAATCCTTAAATCAGGCACGCGACACGAGCGGTATGTGACAGCGTATAACAAATCAGTTGGCAGTTTGAGCTTGAAAACGTAAACATGTTAGAAAAACCAAGGCACAGAATAGATATCTACAGCAAGTATGTTTCTGCTATACACATTCGCTTTTGATGAGAGTTGGGGCAATATGTTTGATTTCTATTTAAGGCAGGACTGTTAAAGAACAGAGGGCTTTTGTTCCCCAGCGCCCCCCCCCCCCTTCCCCTTTTTTTTCCCCTTAAAAACACGGGACCCAGAACGCAACTGGGGAAAACGTGTGTACAGGAATTTGTTCTTGAAATCAAGTTTGCAAACCAAGACAGCCGAGGTAAGTAAAAAACGAAAGTCATTCCGGAATGCTACAGCGAACTAGTCATGGATCCTGAGATTGTTTGTGTATGTGTGTGTGTGTGAGAGAGAGAGTGTGTGCATGTGTGCGTGTGTGTGTGTGTGTGTGTGCGCGTGTGCGTGTGTGTGTGTGCGTGTGTGTGCGCGTGTGTGCGTGTGTGTGACACGAAATGACAATAGCCATTGCTGCCCATCAAGCAATGGATTGCAAACTATTCCTCCCCACAACGCTTAACGGCAGAAGTGGAAAGTGATGGCGATGATGAGTAACGCAATGATCTTTCAGTAAGCATCACTGCAGGGGCAATTCGTGGACTTTCTTCACTGAACATCCTGAGTGGAACGCTTAAGAACATAGCCATTTACAGTTAAGCAAACATTGACAACCAATCAACCAAGGTTCGTAATCTTGAAGACCACATTGCAAGTATCAAAACATCCATGCCAAAATTCCAGATCATTACGTTTTAATGTTGCTTTTTAAGAAAGGCTACATCTGATGCTTGATTTTAACATGGAGATGACAGTTTGCGATGCAGCCCAAATGAACTTCAACTGCTCCAATATGTTGTGAAGTAATCTATTCTGCTGGAAACTGTGTTTTTGCTCTTAAAGTACGATTAGTGAAAAGTTATTTGGTAGCGGCTAGTATGTGGTCATTTAGACGATTGATGAGAATCAATAGACACACACACACCTACACACACCCACACACACCCACACACAGCCACACGCCCCCACATACATCAACAGAGAGAGAGAGAGAGAGAGAGAGAGAGAGAGAGAGAGAGAGAGTAGGGAATATGTTTTGAAAGAAACTTATTCACTAAGAGATAATCTACATTCTTTCGTCATGTCATGAGAAAGGGGTGGGGTGGGGGGGGGGGGAGGTGGGCCTGGAATACTTCATCACGGTTGAAAAGCTGGAGGGGAAGAAGAACCAAAGGGAACAGAGAGCCTGCCCTGGTCGATAACGTCCAGACCGCTAGCCAATGACTGGTACATTAACTGGACTGCCTTCTTGTCTAATATTGTAGAATCGTACAGCCGAATGAAGCTCTTAAACGGTTCATCTAGAACCGTAGGGTCGTCTGCCTTGAAGCCCAACTCTGGCTTTTGCTGGAAGCCCTAAGCATAGCCGAGCCTTAAATGGCCTAACGGCTGAACGGGGTTTCTTGGACCTCTTTATGGGTGATTCTCATCCGCATGGTGGCACTTTGTCACCGGGTGTTTATCGCTTGTGTGATGTCCTGGTTGGGTACAGCTTACCTACCAATCTACCTACCTGTCTTATCCCCTCGAAATCATAACTCTCCAACATCGGCACACTCTTTGACTTCTGAGACGATCGTTATTCTTAAGGGAAAGGGGGAGAGGGCTACGTGGTCTGGAGGCATAGCGTCCGCCTCGAGTGCCAGAGGTTCCAGGTTCAAGCCCCAGTGAAGGCTGGGATTTTTTTTACTTGGATTTTGGTAATTTCCACTAGTCTCTGGGTAGTAAGATGGGACGCCCGTGTGTATTTTTGCCCAAAAAAAAAAAATCCCTTGACGGTTGGAAAACGAAAAAGAGTAGCCTAACGGCGCTACCCGGGCAAAATTTAGAGTTAAGAATTTACCCAAAGTATTTTAGGATCCTTGTGCACTGTGCTGATATTCAGACACTTATGGGTTACTACCCTTGTACCAAGATGTTGATCAGTCGCCTAAACCTAAACCTAACCAGCTGATAATTATTCTGCGCCACATGATCATGAAATCAGGCCTCTTTGTGATACAGCTTGCGTCACTTTCCATCTGTGATATGACAGTTGTGTCGTCCATAGAGACTTCAGTGGCGGCGTCCAATGATACTCAATTTTAGGCCAGCGACGGCCTATGATGCAATAAGATCAGAAGAACTCTACAGCGGGAGTATGCACAGCAAGAGCTACTGATCGTTAGTTCGTTGGTCCCTTGTCAACAATCTTTTCGGTCCGTAATCCTCCTATACGATCTCAGAGGGCGGGCTGAAATGGATAATGGTTGCCAGGCCCCAAACTTCTCCCGCTGCACTTTTCTGAGTGACAGTAGTGGGCTGCGGCATCCACATTCTCATGTATTTCTCTCTTATCCCATGTTTACTCCTGTATTGTTGTTAAGAGAATCCCTGTGGGGAAAATACCAAAATTACACAGAGCTTGTCTGGTGATTCACCGTTAGTTTCTTCCCAGGATATGTCGATGCGTCTAATATAGTGTAATCTTTTCTGTCTTTCAACTGTTGATACTAGACATATCTCTTACTTCTTCACAAGTCTCGAATAGCTCTTCCTATCAGTGGTTGCCCAGATATATTTCCATTATTTATTCACTCCTCTTTGCTTACTTACATGACAACATCCTTCTTAAAAGGTAAAAGGTAAAGTCGGGAAATGGGACCAAGCATCATAGCACACGGTTATAAACCAAAAGTGCTCTGACACCAGTACCTACATTTGGTAAGAAACTGTCCGCCTGTGTCGCCGTCCTCACAACACTCCGTAGCCACACTGTCGTTCCTGCATTTACCCCAGAGTGTTAACTGTGGTACCCACTTTCTAGAGGCTGGGTACACCCCGGGAACCTTCCGGTTTCGAACACCGGCCGTGGGCTGCAGCGAGTCGCAGCTGGATTTGAAAGCGAGTCTCCTATCGACTGCGCTAACGCGGCCCCCAATATTCTTCCTGAAAGCAAAGAACAAAACACATTTTGGTGATGCCATCTGCGCGAATTAGTTAATTTTGTATGGAACATTACTTTCTTAGCCCTGTTTTAATATATGGCAATAAATTCAAAACAGGCTTCGAAATGTACGTTTGAACTTTGAACTCATTGTTAAGTAAATAAAAAAGTTTGAAGTTGCATTGACGCTTTCAAACTGAACTAAAATAGACAAAACGGCCACAAGTAAATTCTTCTGTTTGCCTGCATACCTCATTTCCGGGAAAATGAGAACAAACATAAAAACAACAGTTCCTGGAGTGTAGCAGGCAATGAAAACAGCGGAGATACTCACTACCATCTTGGAGATTCTTGTGTCCCTGAGTGAAATAACAGTATTCTTTTGTGAAGATACAGAGTTTGCCTTCCATTTTGAGTTTTCCCTCAATGCCTTCGTCAGAATACTTGTACATACACTGATAAATATAAAGAAAGCTGTTGGTAGTACGTTATTTATCCAGAATGCGACTTTTTCTACGTATGCATTGTGTGTAATTCTGGCAACTCCCAGAATAGATTTATTCCGGCGGGAATCAAATAACCAGACGACTTTTGTAGTGTAGAACACAGGGATCACTGACAAGAACATGAGGATGTAGAACACAATAATAAAGGTCAAAGTTCGTCTGGGTGTGACGATGGATTTGATTTTCAGTGGAGTCACAACGCACAAACATCGTTCAAAGGTGATCCAGGCGGTTATTCCAGTAGTCGCCCTGGAAAAGACAACATGCGTGTAAATAAGAATGTACATGAGATGTGTAGGGTAGAATGGCAGGTCCATCCTCATGATATCTGGCGTCCAGCAGAGGTTGGCAAAGAAATGCACAAACAACGATCCAAAGTCAGAAACGCTGAGCCCAAGAAGGCTGATGTTGACAGAGTCATGCAGACCTTGTCGGACAAAGACCACGATGTTTAGTAAATTCACAATCAGCCCAAAGATGGTCACACACTGACCTAACCCCCATGTGTTTATCATGGTAAAATATGAAAGCATCTTGTCACTTACTAATATAGTGTCGTCCTTGAAACTCTTTCCGTTGATTATTTCGGTTATATTTGACATTTTTTTTTTCTCCAGTTTATCTGAAAAGAGATATATATAGTCAACAAATGATCAGCAAATCTGCGGTTATTTCCCCGTTTCTCCTGTGTCCAATACCTTGGACAGCCAAAAAGAGCAACCAAGAGGTTTTGAAAGAGGCAGGAGCCCGAAGACAACTTATCACAGACATCAGAAGTAGACAGTCCCTCATTGTCTGGCCATGTTATGAGAAGAGGTAAAATAGAACATGTTGTGACCACTGGAAAGATCTGCGAAAGGAGGGATAGAGGAAGACAACGAGAGATGCTTCTTGACAGTCTTGTTGCATGGCATGGAGGTGTGTCGGCACACGAACCGATTCATGCTGCAGGATATCGCAAATTCTGGAGAGGCATGATCGCCCAGGCCAGTCAGCCAAGCACGTGATGATGCTTGGTTAATATGCTATCTCACTGCTTTGTGATTAAACAGCGTGTAGCGGCTTACGACACCAGTTCTGTGTTGCTTTCCAATTTTTTTTTTTTTTTTTTTTTTGTTTTTTTTTTTTGTTTCCTGCATAGTGCTCTTGTCCGGCCAGACCCCTTCATATATGCTGCTCTTGCAGTCTTGTCATGGTTGCAAATTCACAATTGTCGCGTGCGAATGTGCACTATAAAGCACCGGTACTGAGTGAGCAAATAAGACGTCAAAACAATACGTAACGTTGTGAAGGTATTGTTGTCAAAGGCAGTTGATGTTTACAGTCCGAAGGAGACGGACGTGTGGATCCTTGAGGACGCTTTACCCCGGGATTCCACGGAAGCAGACGTTGTATACAGTTGGACCCTTGATGACGTTTTACCCCGGGACTTCAATATAGACCTCAGCAGAAAGCTGGTATATTGTCACAGTTCGGCAGTAAGCCGGTAAACTTTCATTACTTAATTCAGACTGCGGAACAGAAGACAAAGATAACTGTCTGGATCTCAAGGTCGGACTGCGACCTATCACGAGGACATAGCAGTCCATGGATGTACGAGCGGGCTTTTGTTGATGTGCTTGAATGAGTCTGGATTATTAATTGCATATTTCATCCTTGTGTTGATCATTGCTATTGTCAATACACAAATGCAACCTTTAAAAAGAGTTCTCGTTCCACTACGTTTGGAAGCTTCAACATTCATCATGTTGTATTACTCTTGGCCAGTGGCATATTAAGTGTAGATGCATTTGTTACATTGCGACGCCCCTAGTCACCTTTGGTACGCCGCACATCATCACGCAGGCTTTACAGCACGTCACACTGTAGGCACAAGCATCCGCACGTCACAACAATCATCACTTAGTTCTTGCAAACTTCTTCTCGTAGAGCATTTAGAATATCTACCCGGTCTGCCCTCCAGACTAGCTTTACCTGCAAGCATATCAGCATGCATGGAACAAATATGAAACTGGTATGTGTCAGCCTCGACTGCTTTAGATCTAGACTCCAACCATTGTCGTCAGAACCAGTCCATCTCTATCTTTCTGAGCATACTCACCTAGTCACTGAGAAAGCATGCACGGTTGAAAGTCTGTATCTCCAACCATGTTATTTCCTTGGCCACTGTCAGGACCTCCATAGTCAGACTGCTTGTGGTCAAGGCAAAAGCGCCAGAATATTGCTTTACACTTCTAATTTCAATATGAGCCGTGAAGGACAAGAACTTCTCACATGGCGAATCACAGACCCATTTGGGTATATGACAGCATCCCCCTGCAGAGAATCAAAGCTGTGCTTCTGCCTCCGTAGCGGCTGGACTTTCTTGTCTGCATTTTCTGTTTAGATGGATGCAAACACTCAAGGTCGAAAAGTACTCAAGTGAATATACCTGCAAACTAATGTCCTCGGCCTGACCCATTCACAATTTCCCACTTTTTAAAACCTGCTGCCCTTTTTCTCCTTAAAGTCACCGTGCAGTGGATGTCGTGTGCCTGCGTTGACTCTGAGGTAGGCACTTGCTCAGCCTATGTGTATTGTGTCCTCTATGGTTGGAAAATGAAGAACGCGGCGATCCACCCTTCATGAAGTATCTCTTGCTCATCCAAGTATAATGCGCATAGTCTCGTCTTGTATCTGTTCCAACCTCTCCATCTGTTTATGGCTTAGAGTCAGGATGGCCATTGCATGATCACAGATACACAAGACCAGACGATTACATAGCAAAGTAAAGTAAAGGACCTTTTTTACGATTTCAGACGTATTCGGCATATAGGGCTAGAACTGTATTTTATAGATGAATCAGCACCTGATAGGTAATGTGGCCAACATCACACCGTCTGTTTTTGCTTTCCTTCAATTTACATGGAACCCATTTTAGGGAGCAAATGGCATTTTTTAAGAAAAAAAACCCCACCTAAATGGGGATTTTAACCACAGAAAAGAACGTTCTAGCCGCTACATCACGGTTGCCTTAAATAAAATATAGGTCTATCACAGTATGCCCAATACGCCCAGGGGCCTGGAAATGAGCCGTTTGCTTTGGGGTCACTACACGGCATTTTGTTTTCCAATTTATGACAAAAATATCACTTTTTCAAAATTTTCATTTTTGTAATGTTCGGCATTCGTAGAACAGATTACACACAAAATTTGTTTCATTGGTAAACAATTTGGCATTGAAAAGTTAATACTAAAGACACCAACCCATGCACTTTTTTAAGATAAAAAAAATGTTTAAAAGTCACTTTTCTAACAATTCTATTTTTCTGTTTGTTGTGTGTGGGATCTCCTAAAATCTCAGTTAATCTAAAGACTCGAGACGTGAAGTTTGGTATAGATACTCCTAACACAAAATTATAAGGTCAGGTCTATTTGAAATTACAGTTTATTAAGTAATTTTGTTTTTTTAAATTTGATTATTTTCTTAAAAAGCGACATTCTTTTATTTTTTTTATTTTTTCAACATACCGAAATTCTAATATTCTAAAAATAATATTTAGAAACATCTTTGAAGTAAATAAACTAGACATGACCCTTAACATAAGTTTACAGTTTATGAGAATCAATTATTTGTTTCTCAATACCTCTGTTTGTTTTTTAAATTTTAGCAGTCTAAGTACATGTTGTTTTTTCATCAAAATGGCGGCTGTTGCCATGGCAACCATGTTTTTTTACACTTGAAGTCTACAAATGTATCTACATACATCCCTACAAATGACCATTATAAAATAATTGGTCTAACATTGTAAGTTAAAAAAAATAATTTCTGTAGTGACCCCTTAAGAATTGGGGAATGGCTGTTTGTCCGCTCCTGGAGTTGGTTTGTTCTAGATCTTGAGGTTTGTCTGCACATCCGTTTTACAGATATAGCTTATTAGTAAGTAGACTGTTGGTTCCTCGCCGCTCAGGCAGATGCACTCCGACTTCCTTATGGTATTAATCCCGCAGACCACAACCTTGAATGGATCACTTGAACAGTTACTTCGTCACGCACTATCATTCCCAGTTCCACGTTGGAATGCCGACTGCTTTGTAACCTTAGGAGAAGTCCTAATATAACTGTTATGTGGTTGGAGTGAGTTTATAGAATTTGCCTCGGTTTGATTCTTATCCTTCAGTTGTTAATCCTATGTATAGCAGTTCTGGAAGAAACAGCGACCACCACCCTTCTATTCTTAACTTCTGTTATGAAAACCCCTTCAATCCAGGTTGTGAATTATTACCTTTGTCTTATGTCGGTGTCTCTTTCTTACTCGTTGCGAGCGCGCTACGAAAGGTCAGGGCGCCGGGTTCGATCCCAGCTGCAGACGATTTGACAGAAGATCATCTTGCCCAAGTCTTGACCGTGGTACCGAGAGCCGATCGTTAAGTACAAAGGAGAACTATCCTTCTAAAGCTCAAAGGTTGTTACATTTAAATATACACGTTTTGAGTTAGAAATTGTTGCAGTTTAAATTCCTTAACACAGAAAGCGTTATTGTTTATACATTGAGTATATACTGACCTTTATCGTTGGTTACAGTTTAACAATTTATAACTTGTTGTAAACAAGGAAAGCGTTCACCATCACGAGTGATTTACTAAATTTTACCAAACCGGATTTCTGTGACAATTTTTATCAGTCATGATTCTTTACGTAAACACTAGGACTTTAACTCCCAATAATTTGAGAACAAAATACTTTAATTCTATAATTTACCTTATAACGTATAACAAAATTCTTTATATTGAAATTTCAATAAAAATCACATTTAATGCACGTTTGACATCTATTTAAATGCAAGGCCGCAATTGTTCATTTAGACTGCAGCGAGTTAACCTGTGATCGTGTTGTTTTCTAGTTCCGATAATTTTACAATTCAGTCATCTTGCCTGTTAAAAACAGCAATTGATTCATGTTTGTCGAGCAATCATGCTGAGTTTATCCATGATCTAAATATATGTATAAATATATATAATATATTCATTTACAATTCTGGAGTCTTGAGGCAATTATTGTTGTTATGTAAAAGTTCACACCCAGTCGTGCATGGCTGCGGTTTTTATGTTTCTATTTATTTTACATATAGTCCTATATCTGCAAAGTCTCCGTGAATCTTTGTCGTCTTCTTTGCGTTCGGTTTAGTATGCTCAGATCAGACCATCAGGTGGGTTGCCTCTATGAACTCGCATGTCAGTAGCAGGTCCTTTATGGTTCCCTATAGCTTGCTCTGCACACTTTGCTCTTGAGGCTAGGTGTCTTTTCGAAGTTGTAGGTAGAGTGGGCAGGTCTGCAGAATGTGCTCAATTGTTTGTGGTCCTGTTTGACAGGCACACTGCTGGGACTGTACAATCTTTATTTTATGCATGTGATAGTTACGCCTGCAGTGTCCTGTTCGTAGATGGAAAATTGTTTATTTTGCTTTTTGTTGAGTTTGCTGATGGAGTCTTGTGGATGTTTACTGTTAGTTTGTTCTCTCCATAATTCCTTGTATTTTTCCTTGATAAGTGTTCTGATTTCTGGTACAATTAAAGTTTTTCTTCCGCTACCAGTGAAGTCACTTTTATACAGACAGCTCTT